GTAGATGACTAAACAAATGAATTCGGACAGAACTGCAATCGGAGAGTAGGAGAAGTTGGTTAACAACACAAACCGCCTCTTTCCTTAATCTGACTCTTGGTTCTGATCCCAAGTCCCAGCCACCTTTATAAACCCCGTACGTTGATCCCTTCCTTCATCAGATCATTCTTTCACCGATTAAAAGATCACTTCTCATTCCTCTGCTTGTTCTAGCATCCGCTCATCACTAACAATATCCAATGGCGTATCAAAGAGCTGGAATGGCCCCGGCCTTGGCCCTGTTTCTGTTTGGCATGATCTGGACAAGCGCCACCGCCCAATCAACTGACTGTACCAATGTGATAATCAGCATGTCTCCTTGCCTCAACTACATTCAAGGCAACTCCTCAACCCCTTCTTCTGGGTGTTGCACGCAGCTGAGCAGCGTCGTTCGTTCACAGCCGCAGTGCTTGTGTCAGGTCCTCAATGGAGGTGGCTCCTCCCTCGGGCTCAACATCAACCAAACTCAGGCCCTGGAACTACCCAAAGCTTGCAAAGTCCAGACTCCACCCACCAGCCAATGCAATGGTAAATTTCCCATGGACCCAACCCCCATTAGAATGAACATTCAACGGCTTCCTGATGCATGCGAGATTACGCGTATTTAACTTCCGACTAACTTCTCGTCGTGTCTGCAGCTGCTTCTCCTGCTCAATCTCCTGCTACTGAGACCCCTGGCAATCCTAGCTCAGAACCTGCAGGTACACGGCCATCTTTGACTGCATCTGATGAAAATAAAACAGAATTCATAGGATATGAAAAACAAATTGCAGCTTTCTTATTTCTTACGGTGATTATTTTGAATGGTGATGTATAATCTTCATATGAATTTTACCGGGTGCAGGACGTGGATCTAACTCTGTACCATCAACAAACAGCGGCTCCTCTGATGCAACTTCGACCAAGTTGGCTGCCCCTCTACTGTTCTTCCTTCTGTTTGTTGCATCATATGCTTCAACCTTCACCTTGTCCGTCTGAGTTCTCCAGCTATCATCAGCCTGCCACTGGCTATCTCCGAAATCCATTCTGGGTTAGGGTCAGGGGCCCAGTTTGGCGAGATTAGGCTGATATTAACTGCGCTTGCGCTTTTCCGTTTTCTAGTCCATTATAAGTTATTCTTTCTCCGACCTGTTTTATGGGTCACCATGATTTTGTATTTAGATAGATTCCGCATCTGTACGAATACATGAATAAAACAGGATGATTTTTGGCTTTTAACTCTTAAGTTGGCACACATATTGCCCAATTCACCACGAAGCAGGGCTCAGACAACAAACCAAACCTTCTGTACAACTATATCAAAACACGAACATGATTTGCGACTAAATTTCATATGTCAATGTCCTCGTCCAGCCTTCAGAAGGTAGGCATCCTTACATATTCTATCCACTTCCGCCATCTGCTCCATGGCATCACAAAGTAGCACACCATACTTCATCCGTGCAGCTGCTCGCTTTGTTTAAATCCAAAAGAACAAGGACTCTGCGAACCAAAATAGACAGGACTTCCAACTCCCAATTTGCAGAAAGAAGGTTATTACTAAAAGAAAGAAAAAGCAAAAAAATTTCGTTCGCTGACTGGGCCTATAGAGTGAACCACAAATTGAAGAACACACACAACCTTTCTTCCTCACTCTGATTCAAACACCAAGCAGGAACGAAAACATCCATAAGGGAACTTAATAATGTTAATTCTTACTGATCAATTACGACATTACATTTCAATTCACAAAACAAGTCAACTAAATGTTGTTGTACAAAAATTCTCTGTTTCCACTAAACAAGGAATGGGAGAAGTTCTTGACGCCACTGAGATGCAGCAATGTGGGCAGTAACGAGCAAGACAAATCATTTAACATCGGACGCCTCATCGCGAACGAGACCGCATAAATTCTTCAAGTCTGTCCCACACCTCCAGGGCAGCAGCTCTGTCCTGGTGCCGCTTATTCTTGCTTATCTGCAAGTCAAAATTTTAGGTTCATAAATTTGTCATGCCATTGTCAGATGATCAATCATCTCTAAAATCTCCACCGCGGAATAGTGCACCTTTACATGAACTAGTTATACAAGAAATATGCAGCACATCCAGGAATTGTACATTTACTTGGATTGCATAGAAGAAGTTCTCCATAACATAATGGCAACATGCTGGTGAATAAAATGCTCACCGAGATAATTTTGACATTCCACTGTTTGACATGCTTTGCAGACTCCACGCTGTCATCCTCAAATCGCAAGTAAAAACCCAGAACTGGCAGAATCAAAAGTCGGTACTGATAATTAGCCATGCTCATCCGAGAAACGTAACATAACCAAAGCCCCAATGTCCCATCATTTACATTGAACTCAAACAGTCATTAGTACTAAGTTGATCTAGCACATAAATATGGCCAAGTCCAACCTACGCTTTACCGCCAGCATAGTATAGGGCTGCATGTCATCAGTACTAAGTTGATCTCAAACGATCAGAACCAGAACAAGAAGAAAGCAATCACATTTCACTAACTACACAAATTTCCTGCAAATCAGCAATCAGTCCAATAACTCACATTCAAAATTCGACTCAACAAAGAAATCAAAACCCAATTCACCTTTATTAAATATCTCGACATGATCCTTATAAGGCCAATCCTTGAACTGCCACTCCTTGCCCAACACAAAAACCGCCACCAAGCGATCCCAATCCTCACTCTTCAATGTAGAAGGCTTATCCCTCACCTCATAAGCCGTCACAACCCTATCCCTACTGAACTTCTTCTGCACCGTCACGCAATCCGGTTTCACCCCCTTCATCTGGTTCACCTTCACATCAGTAGGAATAAACACCCCATCCTCCAAAAACTCCTTCACATTATAAATAGTAATCAGCGTCGAAAATGCACTGGGCACCAATATAATCGGCACACCTTCCCCAATTTTACTACCTTTCAAATGCAACTTCGCCTTCTGACCTCCGTCAAGCCCTAGCCCTAATTCCTCCCCACCTCTCTCTATCCTACTCTTGGCCACCAAATTATCCTTTCTCTGCAAGGCGTCCTGCCTCTGCCTCTCCTCATCCCTCCGCGTCGCCGCGGTCAGAAAACTGTAAAAGTCGCGATTTTTACAGCACAGAATCTGCTCCCGATCTTTCAACGGCCGCTCCATCGTCTTAATCCATTTAATAGGGTTGGTAATCAGGTCGTCCTCGTCGGCCGTTTGGTCAATTTTATCTCCGGCATCGGCTTCGGCGGCGGTAGGGATGACGATCATGGTGAAGTCAATGGAGTCGGAGGAGGAGATCTTTCCGGTGAGGTAGTCCTGGAGGGCTTTGCGGTCGGGCAAGGTGACCGGCGGGATGCGATTGGCGCTGGCATTCTGGACGTATTCCGAGTGTTTGAGGTGCTGATTGGTGATGAAGTGATGTAGGGTTTCTAAAGTGTAGTGCGTGGACTTCACGTGCTTGCTGCGGTAGGCGGTTTCGATGGTGGCTGGAAAAGTGTATTCGTTGCCGAAGTGGAAATTGTCGCCGACGCGGCTGATTTTGTCGAGGTGGTTTCGGATGGTGTACTCTCGGAGAGCCGTTAGCGGGTCCATGCTGTGAATTGAATCTTTCTTCAACTCAAGTAGTGTACTGTAGTGTGTGATTTTTGGCGGAGCGTTTTTCAGTTTCAATCACCACCGTCGGGGTACGGTTTTGGATTTGCCGAAACGGCAGCGTTTCAAGGACTCGAATCGAATTCAATGAACTGAGGACTTTGAATCGGGGTGGAATCTAGTCTAACCGGCTTTTGAACTGAATCTACTAGTGAACTCGGGTTCGAATTCTAATTTTAATTTTAATAGATTAAATTAGAATTTATCATGTTAATTCAAATCATAATTATATATCTAATAATAATTATGAGGTCTAAAACTCGAGTTCGATCTCAAATTTTAATTTTAATGGATTAAATTAGGACTTATCAGGTTAGAAGTCGGCAATGCATGCTCTATTTTTGATAAATTAAGTTAGGATTTGTCGTGTTAATCCAAATTATAGTGTACTTCGAAGTCGGGAATGCAACTCGTACAAGACAGGTATCAATTTGGTTATTAAGAGATGATAATTACTCCTGCAAACAAACCACATTCATTATTCTGGCTTGGCAAAAATCCCGTGTTATTATTGCAGCTTGCCTTTTTAGTAATTTAAGTATCTTTTTTTTTTTTTTTGTGGGGTCCAAACGATCAAGTATCCGAGCACACTCACTTGTCTTAGAAAATCCGTACTACAAAAAATGGTGACCTTGGGAATCAGTAGAGAGAAGGCTAAACATAAGCATCATGTCTCTTGGTTTCCCCTGGCCTTGAGAAGGCAGTACTTTCTCAGAACGCCTTCCTTGCTAAAACCAACCTTCTCCAAAACCTTTTGCGACCCTATATTTGCAACATCCACTAGAGCCTCAAGCCTTTCAAGATGTGGCCACTCAACAAAAATGGTGGAAGCTACCAATTTTACTGCTTTAGTGGCAATTCCTTTACCCCAAACCCAATACTTGGATGCCAATACATACTTACCCAATTTCACCCCTGCATTGTGCAGTGCCCTGGAACGGAGTCACTGAAATGGAGCCAACCAGCTTGCCCTTCAGGCACATGGCCCTGAGCCATGGATGATGGATGAGGCATAATTACATTGGCAACAAAGGTCATGGCAGCCTCTTTGGAGGGAATGTAATCCCAGGAGCAGAATTTACTAACCTTTTCATCCATAACCCACTCCACTAAATCATCAATATCGGATAAATCAATCAGCCGAAGTCTGATATCCGAACACTCATCTTTTTCCTTCCCACTTCCCATCAGAGAAGTGTCAAACTCAGGGAAACAAATGTTTGATGCTTTTCAACAAAAATTTGGTGTCTACACATAAAAAATACAACAGATTCCTAAACGCCGGCTACATATTTAGGACAAATATTCGGGTGTATATCACAAGGAATCTGTCGAAGGAAACATTGTAGGAGTCCTATATAATATCATCAAAAGAATAAATAAAGAAAGTTAGGTCACCATTAAATTATACATATTTTTCATACACTCATAATCAAACTATACATTATCTATGAACAATTGCCTCCCGTCCTGATTCACTTGGATCGGATGCCTAATTCAATCGTACATAAAATAATTGACTTGGGGATCAGTAGACAGAAGACTAAACATAACCATGTCCCTCGGGTTGCCCTTGAGAAGACAATACTTCCTCAGAACACCTTCTCTGCTGAAGCCAACCTTTTCCATCACCTTCTGGGATCCCATATTTTCAACGTCCACAAGAGCTTCGAGCCTTTCCAGATGCGGCCACTCGACAAATATCGTGGAAGCCACCATTTTCACCGCCTTAGTAGCAATTCCTTTGCCCCAGTACTTGGATGCCAATACATACCCAATTTCACCCCTGCATATTTCGTTACCGCGGAATGGAGTCACAGAAATTGAACCAATAGGCTTATCTTTCAGGCATATTACTCTGTACCATGGATGGGGAATAGCTACGTCGGCAAGATAATCCATGGCGCCTTCTTTGGATGTGTAACAGTCCCAAGAGCAGAATTTGCTCACTCTTTCATCTGTAAGCCACTCCATGAAATCATCAGCATCTGCTAAGTCCGGCAGCCTAAGTCTGATGTCTGAATAATCATCTTCAACTTCCGTAGTACTCTCTGAACTTAACAGAACATCTTCTTCCATTTTTTGGTGTACCTGCTCCATAAATTTGGTTGATGATGATGATGATGATGGAAGAATTGAAGACAAATGAATTTTCCTTTTTTTTTTTAAATCTTAGTAATAGTTTTTGGGTAGGATTGACTCGGAAATCTTGAACCCATTCTGCATTTTATACTCTGCCAGTATCTGGGAAGCATCCTGGAATTTGGCCATGCTGTCACATAATTGAGTCAGCCAGCAGTCATATAGTCCTTGGACGTTAAGTGATTGGTAGACCAGGGAAAGATTCCAGGAAATTGCAGCAGAACTTCAATAGCCGCGTTTGTGGATTTCCTAGTAGGCTGCAAGCCCACAACTGTTGCTGATTACTGATAGGGTGCGTAATTGATATAAAATTTGTGTATATTTTTCCCTTGATATTTTTCAAATATTTCATTATTGGATGGATTTTATTTATATTTGGTTAATGATGCTAAGTGTAGAGATGTGGAGCAAAAAGTAATAGAAGGGATGATTTTTCATGAATTGCTGTTAAGACCCGAAGGTTCGGAGTTATATCCTTGGTTAGAGTTTTGTTTATTCTTGAGTTGAATTTAATTTGCTTTAGTTTAATTATTTTTAGTCACATTGATTATTTACTTTAGTTTTAATTCTCCAAACCCCCCCCCCCCCCCAAAAATTGATTTTGCTTGGAAAGAAACAGATTTTTCTCTTAGACATAGTTTGGGAGGATGGAAATGAAAAGAAAAGAAGAGAAATGATAAGTTAGAAAAGAAAAGAAAGGATCAAAGTTTCTATCTAAATTGTTTGGAAGTTTTAAAAAAGAAAAGAAAGTGAGTAGTTTTCTTTTGTTTGGGAGTTGAATGCAAAGGAAAGGAAAAGATACTTAAACAAATTATTTTACAAATATGCCCTTTCTATAAACAAATGTGAGAGGGATTCATGGGTATTAAAATGTTTTGTATCAGGATTTTAAGGATAATTTGGTCATATTGAAAAATTTACTTAAACTTTTGTCCGTTCCTAACATTGGGCGGAAAGTTTTCCAAAAGATGAAGTGCAGTGGAATATTTCCTATTCTTTTCTTTTCCTTCTCATTTTAACTCCCAAACAATGGAAAAACTTTCTTATCCCTTCAAAACCTTTCTTTTCTTTTCATTTACATCCTCCCAAACTAGCTATTAATCTCTGTGAAGATGACCCTATTTATTATTAAATTCGTTTATATCTTGTCTTGAGTAGGAATTTATTATTGCACAAATTCGACACCTGTCACTTACAAATATTGCTACATTGAATTTATGATAATGACTGAATTAATAATTTGTTACAACCTTGCGGCAACTAATTGGGCAATTCTCTAATTTATGACTCTTCGAGGACTTGAAACCACCTGGAATTTAGTATATATCAACATCTGTCGAGTCAATTACAGTTTTAAAGTACTCGGTTGGCAAGAAAATGACACAAAAAGAAAAGCAAATAAACAACAGGTCAGATGCTATGGAATTCGTAATCAAACTTTCTCAGCCTCCTTGGTGAATTTCCTAGAAGGTCAAAAAAAATACTAGTTGATTTTCTATCAACCTTTATAGTAAGGGTTAATTACATTTACCTCCCCTGAGGTTTAACCAAATTACATATCAAACTCCTAGGTTTAGTCATATTACAGTCTCCCCCTAGTTAGTAACAGCATCTAAATCCCACAAACACAAAAAATGAAATGGCAAAAATACCCTCTTTGCAAAAGATTTTATTTTGCATACCTAAAACACATTACTTTGATTTAGTACTATTTCCAAATTAAATAAAAGAGTTGTTTTTTTTAAGCATTGCTTCCTAAAATCATCCACCAATTAACAAGAGATTGGGTAAGGAAACAAAAAAAAAATGTCTAGAAGATGGAGCGCTCCTTAAAAACTTATTCTCAACATCGCCGCTTCGATTTGCAGTAACACAAAAAAAAAAAAAAGCAAAGAAAAAAACAAAAAAAATGCATCAGAATACTTGTTCTTAAGCCACATTCCCTACCATTGCCTTTGTTTACATACGCTACAACTACTAGATCTATTTTGTTTTTTTTTTTTTGCTTGATATACTTTCTTTTTTAATGGTCACTTTGTCAATTTGGATGGTTTTTTTTTTTTTTTGTGAGAATTGAAGGAAGAGGAGATGGAAGAACAAATATGATAATCAATAGAAGACATTGAGCACATGGCATGAGGAAGAGGAAATTTTTTATCTTCTGGGCTAAATTCAATTTTTCTTCTCAAAGTTCTCTGTTGTTTTATCCATGGCCAATTAGAAGTGTTGGCCGATAGGGATGAGCAGGCAAAGGATATCAATGGGGATCTGGGGCAACTTGGGACTTTCATTAAAAATTTTGGCTGACAGCAGTAAAACTCTTGCTGTCAACATTAGATCAACGACGGCAAGGAATTAGGTGTTATGCAATTCTTAGAATGCTGGAGCTTTCCGTAATATGTCCAAACTTGGAGGTCTGATTTGCAGTTTCGTCAAACCTCAAGGGAGGTCAATGTAATTAACCCTAGATCTTATTTGGCAACAGGGAACTCGTTTTTGGATTAGAGGTCAAGTGAAACAGGAGTGCAATATTGATTTAATGATGTGGCCTTGACTAATATCACAGTGGAAAATTCAACGAGTTGAAGAACTGCTTTTTATAAGCACCCACTTATCAAAATCTTGCATAAAAAAAAAAAAAAGTCTGAAAGTCAAAGAAGCATCAACTATGAATATGTATCATTAATTCATTTGGCAACTACTATGGTCCAGTTCAATGAACACGGAACGCTCAACTAAAACAGCCCTTTTCAGATTAACAAATTAACTCCGCCGTACAAGGACTTGGCAGAACGGTTTCTTTGGACCTCCATCTTGAGATGGAAAAATCAAGAATCTCAGTCAGACCCTTCAAACTTTCTGATGCAGAGGACTTCTTGACCTGGGCAAGTGATGATCAGGTAACACAGTGTCTGAGATGGAACACAATTTACACCATCGAAGAAGCCTTGAAGTATATTCAGGAGGTTGCAATACCTCATCCATGGCGCCGGTCCATTTGCCTGGATGACCGTTCGATCGGATACATTTCAGTCAAGCCAGAATCAGGCAGTGATAGACACAGAGCTCATGTTGGATATGCAATTAGCAGTGAGTACTGGGGACAAGGAATAGTCACTGTAGCATTGAAAATTGCCATTTCTAGCGCGTTCAAAGAGTTCCCCTTATTGGTGAGGCTTGAAGCATTGGTGGAGGAAGAAAATAAAGGGTCACAAAGGGTGCTAGAAAAGGTTGGTTTTCTGAAAGAAGGTTTTTTAAGGAAGTATGGATACAATAAAGGTAAAATAAGAGATATGATAATATATAGTTTCTTGGTTACGGATAATATTTGGTTGCCTGAGGATTCAGATCACGATAGCTAGCCCTGCTGAAGATGTATTTGCATTCTCTGGGAGAAAAAGGAAGAGCTTCAAGAATGAGATATGGATGTTGTACTGCATTTGACAAACATTCAAAATTCCGTTAGATTACGATTGGTTTCTGTCTAGTTAATAATGTAGGACCTTCAAGTTATCTCTGACATGACATATTTTTGTAACAAGGGCAATATCTTGTAATTTGATTCAAGTTTGACATAGTGATGTTACCATCTAACTTAATCTGCACTACTTCGACAGCTTCCTAATACGACGTGAAAATCAAAAGGCGAGCTTAAATTGATTTTGAAGAATACCAGGTTCAATAGCCAAGTAAATTGCAAGGATCAAAATGCAATCCTGCTAACTATAGAAGAAGAATCATGTGTTCATGCTCACCTCAAAATTTTCATACTTGTGGCTTTTAAAAAGAAATCCAAAACGAGAAGGAAAAACACCAACAATGTGTGCAAAACTCGCAGGATTTGTAAAAGAAAACTGAAACACAACAACATCTCTAGCAGGCCCTTTACATGTTTTGTACTTCCTGAAAAGACCATCTCTACTAAATCCTGATTTCTTTAATTTTCCAGTATATCGAAACTGGAATTAGTTCTAAGCTAAAAATCATACTTTTGATACACAAAAGAAGAAGATCGAATTACAATCCTTCTAAATCAAACAAGGGAACACGACAGAATGAATGAGAAATTAAACACAGGAAACTAGTCAACTTGGTGATCGATCCGTGGAGAGAAAGCTGAACATGACAACATCTCTAGAATACCCCTTCAACATCTTATACTTCCTGAGAACACCTTCTCTTTGGAATCCTGATTTTTCAAGAACCCTTTGTGAAGCCTTATTGTTGACATCAACTGTAGCTTCCAATCTTTCCAAATACGGCCACTCATCAAATATAGCAGAAGCCACCGTTTTCACTGCTCTCGTCATGATTCCTTTACCCCAGTAATACTGCCCAAGGACATATCCAAGCTCAGCTCTACACTTGCTATTTCCAGAATTTGGAGTCACAGAAATAGCGCCAATTGCCCGATTGTCTATACATATCACTTTTGACCATGGATGAGGAATAGCAATATTCTTGATGTAATCTAAGGCTTGTTCTCTGGAAGTGTAAGTATCCCATATGCAATATCGACTGACCTGATCATCCGTAAGGTATACCATCAATTCATCTACATCAGATAATTCAGTAGGCCTAATTGTGATCACCTCAGATGATTCTTGAAACCCTTCTGATAACTTTGAAGGTTCTTCAGCCATTTTTCCTCTGCCTTTACAGATTGATTGGTGGAGAAAGGTCTATGCAACATCAAAGAATCCAAGTGGATACATTTATATACTGACAAAAGTGCTAGGCCGTGCTCTTCAAGAAGGCATGTGCAAAAGTTTAATTGGTCAACGTTGAGCAGCTTTACTTTGTCAAATATGTTCCAAGGAATGATAAAGAAATTAGGTGCTGCTGTCACGAAGTGTAAATTAAATTAATAGAATTCAGAAATAGCAGACTTCGCCGATTGATTCATGATCCAAGGAAAGTTCTTTTCGGTTTCACAGAAAATGGTATGACCGGTTCCAGGAGATGTTACAATGTTTTCGTCATTAATACTACTTCATAATGATATCGATGACGTTATGCCTAATGAACAAGAAAAAGGGCAGCATATTCTTTGTCACCAAGAAAGTATGAATTTGACAAATCGATAAAGAAATGAATTCTGAACCAATGAGATTCAAAGATTAGTCAAATCTATAGCCTTGTTGGATTGCCATTTCTTTAAAAAAAAATTTACGTTTTCTGT